TCACAAGATCAAATTTTCAAATTAACGTTAAGAAATATTCAAAAATATTCACAAGTACCATTTTGTTGTTTTTCTTTATTGTATATTGTTGGAAACTGCATAGCTTTATAAACTTAATTAAACTATTGATTAATGACTTTTTCCAATGGATTAATGATAAGCTATAGCAAAACTTGATGCGTCATTCCCGATCCCAGTATGGATTAGAAATCAGCATGGTTAAGTTTTAAGCCTCCAAGTTTAATTCACAAAGTTTCTAAGCGTCTTTATGAAAGATAATTTTTTTTATTTTATCTTTATTATCATAAAATAAAATTTAACCAAGTTTTATAAAATGCGCACGGAATCAAATATAAATTAGTATTGTAGTGGAGCATGATATTTGCCCATTTGGCATCTAACCTCTTATAATTACCAACTAAATTACTCACCAGATAACGAAATCCTTTCACAAGAATAATAAATATTAATTAGTCCCTCTGGATATCATGACCAATTTCAAATAATTTGTTTCAAACTTTTTGCGTCATTTGTTGCCTGATTTCTAACAAGGATTTATTTACACAAACATTCACAAACACACACAAACACACACACTCCACACACACACCTATATACACATCCAACTAAAAAAACACACACAGAAATATACAAAGTGACAAACAGAAAAACACAAACACGCGCGCCAACCTAAACACACACACATGCACGAACACACACACGCACGAACACACACACGCAAGAACACACACACGCACGAACACAAGCACACACGAACACACGCACGCACGCGCATACACAGAGGACTATTTCTTGATGCAATCAAATTAAAAAACATTCCAGGCAGCTAACTCGTTGTTAGGATTGTTATCTAACCGAAACTAATCAAAAATAAAAGAAATGTATTTTAATAAAACGGTCAAGCTTGATTCATGCATCAGTCAGACCTGCCATCATCATCATCATCATAGTCATCTTCATCTCCATCGTCATCATCACCACTACAACCATCATCATCATCAACAACAACAACACAGCAACAACAGAGCCAGGACGTTAAATATCTAACTACAGCTTCTAATTTAACAAGAGTAATCATATCATTTAATCTGCCAGGCATATACTAGCGCGAATATTTACATACATTTATTTACATGATAAGCATCAAATGATGTTTCATATGCAAAGGTGTGAAAGTGAGTAAATCGATCAAGCGATTGATTGATCGATTGATCGATTGGTTGATTGATCGGTTGATTGATTGGTTGATTGATCGATTGATTGATTGGTTGATTGATTGATAGGTTGATTGATCGGTTGATTGATTGGTTGATTGATCGGTTGATTGATCGGTTGGTTGATCGGTTGATTGATTGGTTGATTGATTAGTTGATTGATCGGTTGATTGATTGGTTGATTGATCGGTTGATTGATTGGTTGATTGATCGATTGGTAAGTTGGTTGACTGACTGGTTGTTGGCAACGAGCGTTTGAATTTTCAATAATGTACATTTCGCATTATAACCCAGTAGAACGTTTAAATTAGAGTCTTATATTTTCAACGTAGTACAGGCGATGGTTATCCTTTCGTGGAAACCAACCCTTAAAAAAAGTTTCTAACAGCAATCTTTCAATAGTTCACTTGCAGAATAAAATATTTGAAAACATGGTTTGATTCAAATGAATTCACAATTGGAAAATTTGTATATTAGCGACGAATATTAAAAAAATTACATAAAAGGTGGACCTACGTTGCGATTAAATAAAATTTCTGTTTAACAGAAATTTGCATTTGATTAATTTATTTTTTCTCCAATATTTCAAGAAAATCAAGAATTTTTGAAGGTAGCACAAACAACAGAGAGCTGTGATGATAAATAACTGGTGCAAGCATTTCTATCTTAACAGGTTTCAATTCAAGTGTGCAAAATATTTTTTAAATCATTTCCCACTACTTGTCTATTCTAACAAACGTGCACATAATATATATATATACGAATATACTTGTACATTATATAGCGCCCGTTATAAAATTGTGGTATTCTCAAAGTTACAGCAAACATTAAAAAAGGTATGAGCACTTTTCGACAACTTTAATTGACTTTAAAGCAAATGAGCAAATTGTTTAAAAAAATTTTTTAGATATTTGCAAGAGTTTATTTTCTTCGTTCCCCCAAAGCATATTTTTTGGAAAGTAGTCAGTTCATCAGAAACCAGTGTAAAACACGTATTTGAAATAATTCAAGAATTATTGCCAGTTGGTCTGAAGCATTACTTAACCTGTACTGTACATGTGAATGAGTGGTCAGAGAATGAAAAATTAGTTTAGGCTAACGAAATTGTAGTAAAATCTTAAGTAGCCGAAAATTCAAATTTGTCACAATAATCTGTATTGTAGCGTGCTTTGTATGAAAATTTATTGAAAATAATTGTTAAAAAATTGATCGCAACATGTGCAGTTGTTACGATTTGAACTGACGCACTGAAGCCACTGGGGCGCCGAAAATTTTTCAATCGGTTGTTACAAAGAATTTCTTTGGGATTGCACGAAGTTCGGAAAATATCCAATATAACATTTTAAATAAAAAAAACAACAAATAACGTTAACAGCCAATCACAATTAACGTACGAAGTGTATGAAATGATGAAATTTGAAAAAATTGAAAGAAGCACTGCACAGTGCACACCAACTATCGGCTTCATTTCAACAGCGTTCTTCCGACGTCACACCACACAATTGCAGCGAAATTTTTTCAAAGTCGTTCTTATGAAACATTGGAGAACAAAACGCAAGTTCAGTTAACCTCAACGTGTCAGTTTCTTCTGCCTGGAGGAAGTCTGTTGAGATCAGCACCAATAAACTGCAGTTGACTCAGTCATCAATCACTTAAATTTCACGCGCGTAAGCGGGTACACAATACGCTAGAAGCAACATTGAAACATTTATTAAGCAACAATCAACATGAAACCTTCAACATACAACATTCAACATGCAACCTTCAACATGCAACATTTAACCTGCAACATTCAACATGAAACATTTTACCTGCAACCTTCAACATACAACATTCAACCTGCAACATTCAACATGCAACATTTATCCTGCAACATTCAACATGCAGCATTCATTATGCAACATTCAACCTGCAACATGCAACGTATAACATTCAACGATTGCGTGTGCAGTTGAAAAGTTGCTCCAGTGAGCCACATAAATGGGCTTGAACAGTTCCAGCAGCCTTTCAAGAAGCTTTTTAGAACTGAAGTCGTGAAATTCTATTTTTTTAAACAATTAAATTAGATGACTAATTATTGCTTTATTTTTATTCGTAGTGAATTTTTCATCAAAAATTGGGCGCAGTTTTACTGAAATCGTTTTATAGGAACCCAATTTGCTCAATCCGCATGCAGGCACTTGCAATGAAATAAAACTTTGTTAAACATTAATCTAATAAACGAATGCACCTATTAAAATTCAAATTGTAATCGAAATCTGATGGAATGAACTAACGAGCAATTCAATTAAAAAATTTCATGTGAACTTATAAAAATTGAATAAAAGAATGAATGATTGAATGAATGAATGATTCATTGAATGAACGAATGAATAAAAGAAGATATGAAATATTTAGTAGCTAATTAGATTAACTAAGGTAAAAAAATTGAACAAATGAATACATGAAAGGACAAATAATAGCATACCTATTAACAGAATGAACGAACACACCAACAAACAAGCAAGCAAATGAATGAACGAACGAACAAATGAATGAATGAGTTAATTAATTAATGAAGTAATTATTAAAATATGACCAGTTTGATAAATCCGTGAACAAATGATAAAATTTATTTTAACATATTTTATTGTGTATATGTGAGTGTGAATGTGTTAGCGTAAATAAATAAATGAATAAATAAATGAATAAACAAATGAATGAATAAATAAATGAATGAATGAATGAATGAATGAATGAACGAAAAGGAAATTGATATGAACAATTTTATTTTGATAAATGAGTTTCTTATTATCTGCCACAGATTCGACTCGTTCCCTAACCCTATCTATCCAGTCTTGGGCTTCTATCTAGACTTGCGATATATTTTCAATAGAAAATTGTTTTTAAATGAAAAAAAATGTATTAGCTTATTTCTTTTTTTGAATTCTGATTTAGATCGTAAAGGGATCAATTGGACCAACAACAACAATAATAATAATAACTAATTAAATGAACAATCATCGCCATCAACATTAACATTAATCACCAAAAAATCATTACCATAATCACATCATATCATCATCATAATCATCTCATCCTCATAAACGCATCATCATTATCATCATCATCATCACATCATCATCACAACCACACCATCCTCACCTCGTTATTGAAGTATTCAAAATTTATAGACAATCAAAATATTTATTGTGACCATCATTCCCAAATACTTAATTATATAGAAAAACTATATATGAAATTTTTTGAGGAAAAATAAAACATTAGAACAGAAGCGAAGAATTTTTGTCCTCATTATTTATTTACAAATTGAAGCGCTCATAGTCAATTAGAATAGTTAAAACTGGCTTATAATAGAAGACGGTTTTTGAAAGCTTAATGTTTAAAACTATTGAAACAAGTTGATATTTTTTTGAAGAAGGGTGCCAGCATGGAAGCAACTTTTAATTTAAAATAAAATGTCTTCAAAACAAGAAAAAATGGAGACTTCCATGTTATGTTATATTAGATATTTTATTTTGCATCATTCGCGGGCCAGACGTTTGTTTGTGCGCGCGATAAGCAAAATATGATTAGGAAGCATGAAGATCGCCATGTCTTAATTCAAAGTGCCCCATCATTAATATATCAGATACGTTTGTAACAGAATAAAGTCCGGAGCACATTTTACAATATCGCTGGCGTACAATCATTCGGTTTAAAGTTCTGTAAATAATTAAAATTACGTAGTGAAGGAAGTTAGAAAGAAAAGTAGTGACAGAAAAATTAAGCCTTAAAAACTTTGAACAGCGTAGTGAAAACATCTAAAAAAATGCTCGAAAGCTCTCCAACTCCTAGAAGAAGAGAGAAGGCAAGAAGTGTTTGAATTTCAATAAATCAACTTTAATATTTTGAACGACGTGTTTGTAACCAGGTACAGATCAACTTTAATGATGCGATATAAATGTCATTCAAACGCATCGCCACTTGACGATAATTTACACATTCATAAAATGCTGGTTCAGTTCGAAGTTACGAAATGACCATTAAATGTCTTAACATAATAGAAGCGCTCGTTAAAACGTCTTACATTTGACGTTCACCGTTATAACCGACGAACTTGCTTAAACGTTCTTCGCGTTATTTGATCATTCAGTGTTCTTTCAAATACCTCAAACAAACACTCAGCTCACACAACATTCGTAACTCATTCACACACCGCAGTCCTTCACTATGAATGGGTGTTTTCTAAAGTTATCAAATTTAAGCATGAAACAAAGAAATATAATATAGGCAAAGAAAAGAAAATGTCTGTAAAAATAATGAAGTATGTGACAAACTTCTATCGGCGAGGCAGACTGTAGTGTCAGAATTTCGAAGGGTTTTCCAGAAAATTGGATCGAATTCGCTTTCTAAGCTTCTGTCGATGTTGTTGTTTTTGTTTTTGTTGTAATTCATGATGTATTTGTAGAGAGTGAGCATGTAGCGGGAGGCCGTCGTCGAAACATCCGTAGACGTCTGCTCGTTTCGCGGCCTGTGGTCCAACTGCATCAGATTCAGCAACGTGTTCTCCAAGTTCATCCTCTTGGTGGGAGCCAAACTGTGCACTTCGATGACATTTTGATCCACCTCCTCTTCTTCTTCCTGGCCGTCACCACCGTCATTTGAATACTGCTGTTTGTGATGGTGATGTTGTGGTGGAGAAGGAATAGATGGATTGATGGAGTGTGATTTGATGGAGGAGAGATCAAGTTGTTGTCGTTGTTGATGTTGATTCGTTGTTGTTGTTGTTGTTGTTGTTGTTGTCGACTGTCGTATGCCAGATCCCATATTGAGAGACCACGAGAAGAGGTTGAACAAGGTCAAAATAAATAAATACAAAAATGATTTATACATTTTTCGTGAAACGAACAAAACTATCCTTTTATTGACGAACCGGCGCAGAGCAGTACAAATATTTATGAAACAGGTGACCAGACACTGTCAGTCGAATATTGAGATGCAGGCGCGTGTTTGCTTCGAATGAGTTGCACTTATTGAATATCATACAACGCTTTCCCCTCCCGACCATCATTAACAATAGTCCCTACATAAATCGCGTTCGCCAGTTAAATCATTGAAAAGTCTTTATATACACACAATCTTTCTCTTCACTTAGATGTATTTCATATATACATGTGCAATATACACACATGTGTATGTATAAATACATATTTGCATATATGTATACATATATTTACATATATATATATAAATAATTATATATAGGAATACATATATATGTATATATATATATATATATATATATATATCGGTATATGACGTAACGAAGCCAAAAGTTAGTTATGATGTATTTAGTTATAATATGCCTGCCAAACGTCTTTTATAACTGAGGGCGCACATACACACGCGGGCACACACACGAAGATTACACGCACACAAGCATGTGTACAATATATGTGCTGCTTATAAACGCGTTTCCGTGTGTACGTGTACCCATATTTTCAGTCATATGAAATACATGTCGGTAAGATTCATATGCATGCACGTAAGCGAGTAGCACACATGGTCCAAAAAATTGATTAACTGAAACCTTTTTTTACGTTATAACTAAGTGAGAATTAAAATTACGCTCCGCCAACTAAGAAAATAATTTCTGTTAATTCTCATTCAAACAATGCAATGAACCTGTTGGTATATAAGACTCGTATGCATGCATGCATACGAGCCTTATGTTCAAATTACTCCAAGTCATATTTGTGTTGTATTGTGCTGGCGTGTGTGCGTGCACGATATGAACGAATATACATTTAAATTTAAATAATATATATATATTTATATATATATATTTATATGATGCATGTTCGTGTCTGTGAAATTATAGTGATTTTGTACGCATTTTTGTTTGAATGTAAATCTTTGTGCATGTATGTATGTATGTATGTATGTATGTATGTATGTATGTATGTATGTATGTATGTATGTGTGTCTATTTACGTAACTGTAGCTTTTTCACGTACAATTTTGTATTTGTAATTATACACACAAACACCACACACACATACTCATATATATATATATATATATATATATATATATATATTTATTTATTTATATCTGCATGAACGTATGTGTGAATCACATGTTATTTATGTACAATTGTTCAT